TTTTTTTTGGTTTTTCGAGACAGGGTTTCTCTGTGTAGCTTTGCGCCTTTCCTGGAACTCACTTGGTAGTCCAGGCTGGCCTCGAACTCACAGAGGTCTGCCTGCCTCTGCCTCCTGAGTGCTGGGATTAAAGGCGTGCGCCACCACCGCCCGGCCAACTAAATGCTATTTTTAATTTCCCTAGAAAGGCAAATTCTTCAGCCTCTTTTCCAAGATTTCACAATTCCTATCTGAGAGTCCTTGGAGTATCTAATTACTCAGGATTTTTCTCCCCGTTAAACTACTTAACCTATTAGTTTACTGTTTGTCTAGCTAATCTTTAGTCCTACCTCTACCTTAAAAATATTGGTCATAACCTTGTTACCGCTGTATGCTTACTTTTTTTTTTAAACAAAAATTACTGGCAAAAGCATTCCACTCATAACTGTCCTTAAATGACTAGAAAAATAGAAAATAGGACTTCTGGACTCATTTGCAACTTGTGTAGTCTAGATCAAGTTTTTGCCAATTACAGTCTGTGAGAAATATGGAGCCTGCTGATGTTTCTGTAAATAAAGTTTTATTGAAACATGGCCAAGTTCATTGTTTTACTATCTACAGCTAGTTTTGTAATGTTATACTACAACTATATAGTTTTAGAAGAGCATCTTGCCAAGTAACTTCAAGTAGTTACTCTATCAATATACTCTTTACAGGAGAAAAAAAAACCACCAAAAAGACAAAAACAAAAACTGATCTAGATGTTATTCCAGCTTTAAAGCCAAAAGATGCTGCTGTGTTAGAACTGATCCTCTCCCAGTGCCTCGGAAGCCACAGAGCACTCTCCTCCATGATAGAAGGCACTCACGGGACTGAAATGAAGAAGGTCTAAACTCATCACACCAGGCCCTTCCTGAGCTGCACACTTCATTCCCAGACGGCAGCAGGAAAGTCAGTCCATCCCAGATGACAGACCGCTGTCTGCATCGCTAAGAAGCACACCGGCAGTCCACAGGTTTGACCACATCCACCGTATGCACTGGGCACTAGAACGCCTCCATCTTGCCAGGAACTGATCAGATTTATTGGTCATTTCACTCCAATGCTGACCTTTCCATTATTATTTGGATCTTTCTATCTGAAACTTGAGGGTGTGTTCTTGAAGAGAACTTCCTGTCATCCCAAGAACCTGGGGCTTTTAGATCTTTCTCCAAGCCAGAGGAGGGGGTAGGGATTGGGGATGAGTAAACTGCCCTTAAGGGACCCCTACATATGGGCTATGGACTCGCCCCCACCTCCCCTAACCCCGGTGACATGAGGACTTTTTCTTACCATATGTTCCATAGGGGGAATTTACACATTCTTCTTTATGTTAATTTGCACAAACAACCATACAAACATTATGTACATTTTAAAACATAAAAATATTTGAAAAACTGAAGAATGAATTCTTTAATATATCAAAATCTTAACTGATTTCTTATATCCCATTAGATCTGGTTGCCTACCCCAGACCATCTGGACAGTCCACTTGGAGAAAATCACTCCCAACACAGCTTGCTGTTGTTTTCTTTTCTTTACTGTTTCTCTATTTGGCGATATTTCCTTTGTTAGTTTTCTTTTAATGTTCCCCGCTTCCCTGAAGTGTGTTTTTTATTTCCCGAGTCTGGGTCCTCCTCTTAGCACTGAGCACTGCTGCCCCTCCCCCTGCCCCCCCCCCCAATCTCTCCGGCTTTAAGAGGCAACAGGGGCTTCACAAGAAGCCCCGCAGAGACAGCGATGGAAACTGTCCGGAGAGTTCCCAGACACACCACTAACGATGTGGTCGTCACTCTGCAGTCCTGGGGCCGGCCTGGTGAGCGGTGTCAGCACCGTGCCGTCTCAGGCCTGAGCCCACTAGTGCTCCAAAGCCCCGGGCATGCGGCCCACCTGACTGTCCCTCACAAGTATCACCTGCTCTCCGACTTCCTCTACCCAGAGTTCTTCTCTTCTCCTTTCAGAAATAAAAAATATTAAAATTATTTGAAAAAAATGAGACAATCACATCTTTGTTTGTGTGCACACATGTCCGTGTGTGTGAGTGCATGTGTATGCACACAAATGTCCGTGTGTGTGTGTGTGTGTGTGTGTGTGTGTGTGTGTGTGTGTGTGCATGTGTGTAACTGTGGAAGGTGAGGATCAATGTCAGGTGTCTTCCTCAATTGGTCTCCGTTTTATTATTACCAGATTTACTTTATTTATTTATGTCTGTATGTATTTGTGTCTGGGAATAGGTGTGACAAGGGTATGCATACTTGTGTTTGCAGGGGCCAGATGAGGGCAATTGATCCCTCAGAGCTCAAATAACAGGTGTTTATAGAATGTCTAGCTTCTCACATAAGTGTGTGGATCTGAATTCCAGTCCTCATAACTGCTCTTAACCTCTGAGCTATCTCTCTAGCTTATCTTTGGTTTGTTTGTCTTTTGAGACAGGGTTTCTCTGTGTAGTCCTCCCTGTCCTGGAACTCACTCTGTAGACCAGGCTGGCCTTGAACTCAGAGATCCCCTGTTTCTGTTTCCTGAGTGCTGGGATTACAGACATGCACCACCACACCAGCTATTCACTGTATCTTTTAAGAAAGATTTCTGACTGAACCCAGAGCTTGCAGATTTGGCTAGACTGGGTACTAACAAGCCCCAGAGACTCCTTTCTCCACCTCCTAGTACTCCTGGGGATTGTAGACATGTGCTACCGGGCCAGCTTATACCTTGCTTGTCCCTGAGTGCTGGGGACCAAACCCAGGTCCCCACTTGCACAGCAAAGATTTTACTGCCTCAGCACCCTCCCCCGTCCCCAGATTTGATCTTGCTGGTTTACAACTGCGTCTTGACAAATCCAGGCCCTGGATCGGATGCCCACGCTGATCACAAGAAGGGACAGGGGACCTGCTGAAGCCCTCAGCATGGAGACTCAGTCATGTCAACGGCCTTGGCCACTAACCATGCTCTTCCCAGGGTCCCTCGGGAAATCCCAAAATGGGAACTTGCGTGATGCCAAAATTTTTACTCATTCCTTTATAAGTCAATTTGCCAAATAATAACTAAGCAAAATCTACAAGATCTACAGCCTTGGATTACAGAGCTAAGTCAAAGCCAGAACCAAAATGGATCACATGTCATCACCAAATATATTGTTTCCAAGAACAAAAGTCTCTAAAAAATTAAGTAAGCAAGAAAAAGTGAGCATAAAGCTATTTTAGACCTTGAACCTACACAGGTACTTACTGGGTGCAGCAGGGCCAGCTGATCTAGAGTCCAATGCTTGCCAGGTTAGAGAATTCCCTGAAATGACAAAAATACAAGTTAAAAATGAAAACTGTAAGACAGAAGCAAGTTTTGGCAGCAAATCATCCTAAATTCTGCCACCAGTAAAACAACCGGAGAAACTCTGCGACACAGGGCACCTCGCTCTGCGGAGTGTGCTTGACTCAAGTTCTTTTAAAGCTCATTTTTTCTCTTTCTTTTTGGAATGACGACAACTACCTATATTTAAATCAGCATTAATTTATATTTCTTCTCCCTTGAGCTCTCATTATTCTAAGAGAAGCTAAAGGGAATCATGAACTCAGCCCCTCTTCTTTGCCAAACATTTATCCCATAAAAAGATGGAAGGAAATCCCGCTTGTGTGTCCCATTACCAATCCAGCTAGTGTCCCTCAAGCAAGCAAAATTCCTTAACAGTCTGAGCCACCCTGGCCAAGCCTGGGATCTCTGGGCAGAAGTCTAGCTTTTAGCTCCACTTTCCCTTCTGATCCAGATCGTGACTGGTGGAGATGGCCAGGCCACTGCTGCAGTCGGTCCTAAGTACGGCCACCACGCCTAGAAGGAAGCTCTAACCCTCAACAGCTGCGGGGAGGGAATGCAGTGACCTCTACGGTGTTTTAGAACGGCCTGATGTCGGTCCTAACAGCCAGCGCTGGGGGTGCCACTGCTGTACCTCAAGTGAGTTCTTCCGTTTCATCCTGAGTCAAAGCTTTAGCTAAGGTACTATTGATTGCCAGTGTTAGAGATGAAGACACTGAATGCAGACTCACAAAGACACGCCGTGCCAGGGACGGGGGTTGAACTCAAACTCTTTCTAGGCTCTGGGTTTTTAACTCTGTCTTATGTGTACGAATCAAGAGATGAAGGGCAGGACTGGAAAGATGGTTCAGTGGTTAGGAGTATTTGCTGCTCTTGCAGAGGACCTGGGTTTAGTTCCCAGCACTCACATGGCAGCTCACAACCATCTGTCACTCCAGCTCTGTCCAGAGGATCTGATGCCCTCTTCTGGCCTCCACACTGGTCTTGCATGCTCATGGTACACATACATACATGCAGGCAAAAGCACTCGTACACATAACAATTTAAAAAATTTTGAAGAGGCAAATGACCACTAACCAGCACTGTGCACATAATTACTGACTGAGTTATATATAAAATATTAAATGGGAGTTTAGCTTTTCTTAGTTCTTCAACTTTCTGGGTTATGGCAACAGATCTCTCAATTATTAAAATAACATGAGGACATATATGCCAAATAAAAATACCAAGTAGAATGGCGCTTTAGTGGACACAAATCAGCAGGCCCGATTTTCTGTACCCAATGCTGTCAAGCAAGCCACTTTGCTTTATCACAGGGATCCTGTGCACTTACCTTTCAGCTCACCAACACTGATGTATGGTTTACTGGTAAATTCTCTAATCTGTGAAAGAGAAAACAGTCGGCTAGCCATTCGTATTCTAAACTAGAGATGGACAGATTGAACAAAGCCTGATACGGTTGTTGGTAAATTAACCTTTTCACTGAATCACCCCTACATGGCCTTCCTGACAGAGGAAGGAGTTGTAGAAAGGTAACACTCACGGACCTGGCTATTTCTCCAAGTGATCATGGGCAAACGTCTCACCTACCTTCAAATGTGCAGTCTGAGGCATCTCTGTGTCTCAAGTAGCTCTGGGGACAATTTATTTTAATGCATTTACTGTTGCAAGCAATCTCAGGGAGCAAAGAGCTGACTTCGATCATCTTCAACCTAAGATGCCATATCCGAAACCACTGTCCTCAGATCAACTGCGCGGCTCCTCCAGGCATACCTGCTGCCTCTGGCTGAGGATCAGCTCATTCTGCTCCTGCACTTTCTGGCCTAGCTCTTCTATCCGCCTCTTGTAGAAAATATTATCTGCACTTAGATCGTCCATCATTGAGGTTCGAAGCTTCTCGATATTGGACAGGAGCTGGAACAACAATCGGGAAGCGCGTTAGTCTGCAAGGTACATGCACGATCTCTTTTTTGCAGATTTTATGTGCTTGTCTTGACTTCTCTGCTGGTTTTTTGCAGTCTCTCTGCATTGAGTCATTCAGAAAATCTTCAGTCCATGCATGCCAAGGCCCTGGCTGTGCTAGAATTCACCCTTCCCAGGAGTTTATGATCTGAGACAGGAAAAGCTGATCAGGCGGGCCGTGAGTCAACTTGAGCATATTCCATCAAGTAATACACAGCTGCTTGCTGACTGAGGACAGGGGTCTTTCCTGGGGGTCTCACCTCCAGAATGAACTTTACATATAGCCCTGTGCCCTGCCCTCATATCCACATGTAACATGCCAGCTCAATCGGGTAGTCATGGGCCAGAGAGTTCATTTGATTCATTTTATACCCCAGCAATCAGCATAATCACTGGTCCATATATGTAGGAGCTTCAGGAACAGAGGGAGAAGGGAGACATGAATGGAGGGAAATGGCAGTGAAATGCACACTGATTCATCTTTAGAGACTATGACGGTTAATCTCTTTTTCTTCCTTTTACTTGTATGTACGTATGGTCTCAGTGTGCATGTGTGTGAGTGCACATGCACGCGAGTACACACACGTGTACCCATGTCCATGTGGAGGTCCAAGGTTAACACTGACATCCTCCTCCATCACTCCTTATCTTCTTCAGGCAGAACCTCTCAATCCAACCCCGAACTGGCTGATATGGCTAATCCTGATAGCCTTCTGAGGCTGAAACTATAGGTGGGCCACCACGTCCGCTAAGCATTTTCTCAGGGTGTGGGAACCTGATCGTCTGTCCTCTTGTGTGTGTGGCAAGCCTTTTAACTGCTGAGCCAGCTCCTCAGCCCACGTGATGGTTAATCTTGTCAGCTTAATGGAATTTAGAGTCACCGCAGAAATGAACTTCTAAGGATTTTCTAACTGGAGTTCACTGGAGTGGGAAGACCCGCCTTGAACGTGGCCGTCGTTCTATGGGATAGGTCCTGGACTGAATACGAAGCAGAAGGGGACCTGAGCAGTGACATTCACTTCTTTGTTTCCTGGCCGTAAGCGCCTGCCTCCCTGGTTCCCCTGGGGTGGACTGCATCCTTCAGCTGTGAACCACCGGGCCCTTCCTTAAGCTGCTTATGCCAAGCGTTGCCTCACAGTCGTCATAACCCAGCACAGAAACTTGATGCCAGGGAGATTATACACTGGACACAAAAATCGCTTCTGATAATCTAGGGTAACGAAAAACACCACAAACCAGCTGGTAACTGGTACTCAGGGCACTGTGCATCTCACTCCTGATACGGAGGTGGGGGGGGGGCCTCCAAACTGGGGCTTTTCGTCACGGTCGCCCACACACCGACACAGAAACTTAATGCCAGGGGAGAGTTTCTCTCATGAGAGGGCATGAGTGTCCAGATGGGCATTTTCCATTATTTTTTTTGAAAGATTTAGTTTTAACTTGTGTATGTGTGTATGCATGTGTGGATATGTGCAACATGAGTGTGGGTACCTGTGGAGGCTAGAAATGTCTGGAGCTGGGCACAGGCAGCTGTGTGCCGCCTGGTATGGGAGCTGGGACCTGAACTTAAGTCCCCTGGAAGGGCAGTATGTACCTTTGGGCATTTTTGTTTTATTCTTTTATTTATTTATTTATTTATTTATTTATTTATTTATTTATTTATTTATTTATTTACACTCATGCTATTCATTAATTACACTCATGATACTAATTACACTTGTGGTAAAAAAAAAAAAAAATGTGGAGCCCAGGCTGGCCTTGAACTCGTGATCCTCCTGGCTCCGCCTCCTTCAGCAAACCCCACCGGCGTTGCCACCACTACTGAACTATATCTCCCCAGCTGGCTGTGTGTTTTTAAATCAACACTCACTATGATGCCGTGTACTCCAGATCTTGTTTGTTCCATGATGCTACAGAAGTGCAGTGGAGACTCACAGTACAGACTCAGTCTGGAGAGGTAACATAATGACTCAAATTCAGAGAGCTGGGACGGACAGAGCCTGACCTTGAACTTCCACACCCGGCTTCAGAGTCAAGGCTCTACCCATGGCATGGTCTTGCCTGTGAAGTTCTGTGTTTCTGAAAGTGCGCGTAGAAACACTGAGCTGAAGCATGTGGGGAGCCAGAAGAGAACTCCTCAGAGCCGGGTGGATTCTAAGAATTTCTCCAAGAAACAAAGCGTCAAGAACTTTCCGACATAGTAGTGCAAGAATTTCATCCCCGCACTTGGGAGGCAAGAGGCAGGCAGATTTCTGTGAATTCAAAGCCAGCTCCAACTACTTGTGGGTTCTAAAACAGCCAGGCTGTTTAGTGAGACCCTGTCTCAAGACAAAACAAAAACAAACTTTCTCAACACTTCCAGACGGTTGGAAGGGCATGTCCCCATGACCCACAGAAGTCTTCTGAGAAATGCTTAGCTAGAAATCAGAAATTCTAGTAAAAATGCTCAGGGTTTGGGGTGGAGGTTTAGGACCTTAGACCAGATCACCAAATTGAGGAGCTACGCCAGTCACCAAGGAGCAAGGGAACCCAGGGAAAAAAATCAGGGGGTGTCGTCACTGTGGTACCTCAATCAAGAATGGTTACAAAGGTACAGACAGGAATATGATGAGAGGGGGATTCAGAGAGCTTAAACAAGATAGTCAAAAAACTACCTCACGAAGCCGTGTGTGTGTGTGTGTGTGTGTGTGTGTGTGTGTGTGTGTGTGTGTGCATGTATGTGTGTGTGTGGCACCATTTCAAGCTCTCTGCCGTCTTCCCTAGCCTTACTCATAACACCAGCCTTCTCTGTCACTGCGTGACCATAACGCACCTCCTGGGCTCTCAGGCTGGGTCAGAAGGTCACACCGTGGATTATCTGTGACTCCCTTTGAATTCCTGCCAAGGCTATTTCAAAAAGAAAAGACTGCCAAGAGCCTAGGTAAAGCAATAACAAGCTGGCACAGGCAACTTCCCCTGAACAGAGAAGCACAGTGTGCGCATTGTGGGGAGAGCAGGCGCCAACCATGTGGAATAATTAATAGGTCTCAGGCGGAGATGACTGCGTTGGATTGAGTTCACCGCTCTGTTGGGGTATAAGTGAGACAGGGAAGCAAGCAGCTTTGAAACAGCTGAACCAGCGGACAAAGGAACAGCGCGCCCTGGCCAGGCATGAGTCTCTGCACACCGACTACGCACAACCCAGTCTTAGGTTTGGATGGAGCCTCTGTGATGCGCTTCTAGCAGAATGCAGCGAAACTCACAGGCAGAGTTAAAGTCCACATCTGCTGACTTTCAGTTTATGATTGGGGAAGCTATCCTGAGTCGGCTTGTCTTGCTCCGTGAGCCCTTTGAAAGAAGTTCCAGACCCTTCTCAGAGAGGAAGACAGAAACAAGTGTCACTCCCAGAGGGCCTCGAGGTCAGCGGCCATGCTGGGGACGTCCGTGGAGGGATGCAGCTTCTGGAAGCTAACCCAGGCTAACCATGAAGAGCTCCACAGGAGAACACAGCTTAGGACATGTTCTGAGCACAGCTTGTGGATTCATGGGCTGGGGTCCCAGCCAAGTCATGCCTGAGACTCCGGTCCCACAGACAGTGGGAGATGACTCATGTGGACCATTTGGGCCTAAATGTGTGACAGTCTGCCCCGGGGAGTAGAAAGCTGATAAGGGGGAAGCAGCCATGAGAAGAACAAGTGAGGCTTTCCACGTGTTTAAAATTAAAAAAGCCCAGGGTGAGGCTGGAAAGAACGGTGGGTAAAGAGCAAGCATTGGTTCAGATACCCAGCACCACGTCAAAGCTGAGCAGGCTGCTGCACTTGGGAGGGGGTGACCGTGAATCGCTGGGGCAAGTCAACCGCCTGAACTAACTCTCCACGTCACTAAGCTCCAGCTTCAGCAAGAGATCCCGCCTCAGGAAATAAAGTGGACAGTGAAGACACACTCAACATCAGCCTGTGCCCACGCATACAGTGCACATATGACCACGTGACATATGAACACACATACATGCACACACACTATATATATCAAATCTTTGGGAATATGATATTCTGCTTAATACTGTATGAAAGAAGTACTTAGTACTAAATATATAAAGGAACATCATTTTAGGGAATGTGTGGATGAGGAAACAGTGTGCTCTATGCAGAAAAGATCTGTTAGCAATACAGAGGGCACAAAAGATAATATTTCTTAAAAAAATAAACAAGATTTCCTATCTTAAGATATTCTCAAATACACCTACTTTAGATGCTTTGTCCCAGTGAAAACATGAACAATGAATTTTCTGATGTACTCAGTGAACAGGAATCACTTTTATAATAAAGTTTTGTTTTCATTAGACTCTTAATGTTAACAGTCTTTTATTTATATTCCAGCTCAGAAATGTGGGAAAAAAACCCACAATAACAGAGAAATGATGAACAGATGAAACATCTAAGTAAGATTATCATATAGCCAATAAAATGATGTTGAAGGATATTTTTAAGCATAAAGCATTTGTTCTCTAGAAAGTACAAATGCAAATTTTGTAAGGCTGTATCTATATGTGGGGGGTTACATTTCTGGAAATGGAACCTTTCGATGTGCAGATTGATGCAACTGTGGCATGAATGTTAGGGGCGACCAACCACTCTATGATCAGATCAAAGGCCTGCTCCACAGGAAGGGGCCCATGCCCGGGGCTGTAAATTAGGCCACGAAATTGTGGTTGGAGAGGAGGAAAGGGGAAAACTTCCTGCTATGATTTTGCTAATGGGCAGGGTAGCAAATGCTTCTAAATACCTCCTTTATACCTTTAGATTGACAGGGCTCTCAACCCTCATTAGAGAAGCTGTCTGCAGTGGGCCGTGGTTAATACAAAAAGGTTCACAGCTGATCAAAGTACAGAGGATAAGTGATTGCAGTGTCCATCCCTGACAGGACATTTACCCCACACACACACACACACCCTACCCGAGGCTCAGGGAAGGGAGGGCAGGAAAACTGTAGGAGCCAGAGATGGCGGGCTCCATCTATAAAACAGCTGGGCATGATGTTACCCAGGAAACTGGTCTCCTCTTTGGGTTTAGTCTTGTTAATAAAAGAATTTAAAATCACACTCAGAAGGAAGCATGAGGACAATTTAATCAGAGTTTAAGAGAAAACCAACAGGTCAGGAAAGCTGTAAGTTTTGGCAGCAGCCTGGAGGGAAAACGTGGAAAAAAGGAGAAGAGAAAACGAGGCCATTTGCAAGCAGCCCCGTGGTGAAGGTACAGAGAGCTTTAGAGAAAGAGTGAGGGAGCAGTCTACAAGAGAAACGAGAAAGCTTGAGTGCAGACCAGAGAAGGGGCAGGCTCCGGCGCCATCTGGGTATGACAGAGCTGGTACACTCATAAGCTCAAGGAGGCTGTGGCTGCCTACCTAAGAAAAAGCCGGGCACCAATCCAGCATGGATGGGGAGGAGCTCATGACACCCCACCTGGAGCTGAAGAGCTACTGGGAACAGTGACTGCTGGGGAGACAGAGCCATTTTTGTCATGGATGTGGCCCCTGGCAGGTCGCCCATGCCCAGTGGACGGCCCTACACCCGTGTGCATGTGGGCAGCGATAACTGGAAGCGATGGCTATTTCTTAAACAGATTTTAGAAAGCAGACATGAAGTTGGCAGGAAGAGGGGACATGGTGGTGAAGTCCAAGTCCAGAATGAGCTGGGGGCGGAGAGCTGGGAATGGGTAAGATCAAAATACACGGCATACATGTGTGAAACTCTCCAAAGACAAACAAAATAGTTCAAAACATTTATAATACAGAAAGAGAATGGAAGAGTATTCACTACAAAGGAATAGCTGTGGTTAATTTTTTATGAAAGCCACAAATATTTCTAGTCTTGTTACACATTCTCTAGAAATATTAAATAGGAAAATACCACCATCATTATTGAGTAAATTAGAAATTCTTTTCAAAAATGGCCAACGTGCGTGCGTGCGTGCGTGCGTGCGTGCGCGTGTGTGTGCGTGTGCGTGTGCGTGTGCGTGTGTGTGTGTGTGTGTGTGTGTAGCTTAGTAACACAGCACTTGCCTGAGCTCGAGGCCCTGGGCTCCACCCTCAGCACCGGAGAGAACGGGGCTGGGGTCTGACCAGAGGGAGGTCTCACTCTCAGCCTTACCTGTCCCTTCTCCCTGCTGTGTTCCTCGTTGAGAACCTGAAATCGATCTGACCACTTGTTTGCCTGGAGGAGAGAAGACAAGTGATCTGTCTGTAACAGTAATGCAGCAGAAACTTGCTCCACACCGGAGCTTGCTTTTCGCTGGGTACCTATGAAACCCAACGACCTAGTAAAATGTTAGCTGGCATTTTCAGATATTTCTGTTACAGAGTAGTCAGTATTTATGTTAGAAAGTGGGGCCAGGGGAGTCTGTCACAACTATGGGGATGGAGGTGACACAGTCAGGGTCACTCCTGCTGTGATGAAACGCCATGGCCAAACCCTCGGGCAGGAAAGGGTTTGTTTATTGGCTTATACTTCCACATCACAGCTCATCACAGTTCACTGTCAGAGGAGGTTAGGACAGGAAGTCCAGCAGGGCAGGAACCTGGGGGCAGGAGCTGATGTAGAGGCCATCGAGGGTGCTGCTGACTGGCTTGCTCCCCATGGCTTGCTCAGCCTGCTTTCTTATAGAAGTCAGGACCACCAGCCGAGGGATGGGACCAGCAGCCCAGGGAGGGCACCACCCCCATTGACCACTAATTAAGAAAATGCCCTGCAGGTTTGTCTACAGCTGGATCTTATGGAGGCAATTTCTCAATTGAGGTTCTCTCCTCTCCAGGGACTCTGGGGGGTGAGGCAAAGAACTAAGGTTCCTGGGTCTAAGGTTCTAAACAGGCAACTGAGTTCATGGGAGACACTACAGTCTGCGGGAAGTAAATGTCAAGAGTATGAGCCAACTTGTAGTTTCCTGCTCATGCCAGGCACCTGGCTGAGCAACCACTCACTGGCACCTCGGAAGAGGATTCGAAGGACACCCTGATCTGTGCGGGAAAGGGGTGGACACAAGGAAGAGAGAACTACTGACTGCGTGTAATTAAGATCGGACCAAACAAATGGTATATATAGTCTAGAGGAGATTTGGGGAAGCCTTGTGGAGGTGCTGTTCCAGCGATGCTGGGGAATAAGTGTGAGGCGGACCCTGAAAGCAGAGCTCACTGCCAGCAGAGAAAGCGGCAGGGCCGTGGCAGGGAACAAGGAGCCATGTTTCAGAACAGTGGTTCTCAAGCTTCCCAGTGCTGTGACACTTTAATACAGTTCCTCACGTTGCGGTGACCGCCAACCATAAAATCATATTCATTGCCACTTCATAACTGTGATTTTGCTACTGTTATAAATCATAATGTAAATATCTGATGTGAAAGGGTCATTTGCACCCAAAAGGCTTGCACCCCACAGGCTGAGAAAAACCCTTCCAGTAAGAGGATCCTGGGGCAGAGGGAACATCATCACCGTAAGTTACAGTCTGGTGAGAACAAGGCCTTGCTGCTGGTTGAACGGTCTGCAAGTGTATGTGTGTGTGCTTGGGGGGGGGGG